AAAGGTAACAACAATTGAATTACAAAATAAAAAATAAGTTTGTTTATTGGATGCAAAAAAAAAAAACATAAACCCCCTTTTATTAACTTTTGTTTCATAGTCTAGTTGAAATGTTTAAGTACTTGGAAAAGCACTTACCTTGGCCATTTGGAGTAAACTCTCCCGATCGGCTTTGTCAATCTTTGCCCATTTTGTCACTTGAAGAGGTGCATGCTTCCGAACAATGCATCTCAACTCTGTTATAAANTTATAAGTGGTTGGCATTCCAATCCTACTATTCGCCCAAGCTCTTCAGGCATCTCGACATTAAGCTTCTCGCCGGCTTGTTTTTTTTGGCAAGCGCAATATTTCGGGTTGGTCCCCGTTTCCTCCTCGTTAAGGATGACTCTGAAGATAAAGTGTGAACAATGTTGGTAGATGATTTTGTTAAGAACCTAATTTTTTGATAANGGGTTGGTCCCCGTTTCCTCCTCGTTGAGGATGACTCTGAAGATAAAGTATGAACAATGTTGGTAGATGATTTTGTTAAGAACCTAATTTTTTGATAAAATTAAAACATAAAGAAAATTCAATAATCAATAAAAAAAATTAAAAATGCAACTTCTATAAGTCAATATTTTGAACAATATTTAACATAATTCCATTAAACAAACATACCAACATTATGTTCGACATGTCCCTCTGGCAAAGGAACATTATTTACACTCATGGAACCATGAGACTCTTGTGCAAGTGGCAATGTACCACCATTAGCACCAGTCTGTGTCTGTTTATCAGATGGTAATGAAACCGGAAGCAGTACTGATAGTTGTCCTCCACCACGCCTAGCAGCTCCTTGTTTCCCCAATCCGGCCATCTGTGTGCAATGAAGTAACAAAATAATACAACAAATGAATATCAATTGTGTAAATACAAATGGTTATGCACATCTATGTGTGTATATAAGAACTACAAGTACTGCAACATTATAAACTTTCCCTAGTATAAGGTGAATTACACTGAAACCTTACCTTTAGTCAGATTCACATTCGTCATTACTAAATGTATCATCTTTGTGAATATCATCACTACAATAATCTTCCTCGATATCACTGTCATTAATGAAGTTGTTATCTTCTTCATCTACATTTTCCATTGGTTGTTCATGAAATATATTATCTACATCAGTACATCCTAATGGGATCATATCATCTCTTTCTAATGATGGCATTTCATCAATTTCCATTGATTCAAAAACCTCATCAGGCACATGTTCTTGGTAAGGCTCCTCACCAGAAATCAATTGTTCTTCAAATTGTTCAGGAACATCAAAAGACCCGCGAGGTTGATTTCTCTCTACAACGCGCCAATTTTTTCCTAACTTCAAATCTTCAATATAAAAAACTTGTTTTGCTTGAGAGGCAAGCACAAATGGTTGGTCCTTATACCAAGTTCGTGATACATTTACACTAGTAATATTCCAATCCTTGTCTATTTGGATACCTGTACTGTCCTTTACATCCCACCAATCACACTTGAATAACATAACTCGATTCTGCCCAAGTAGATATTCTAACTCAATAACTTCAATGATCGCGCCATAGAAGTTTATCACCCTCCCATCATGTTCTCCCTCCACAACCACACCACTATTTTGTGTTTTTCTTTTTCTCTCACGATCTTGAGTGTGGAACCTAAACCCATTTGCATTACAACCAGTGTAGCGTTTCACTCGATTATCAGGACCCTTGGCAAGGGACAAGAGTTCTTTGCTAGCACGCCCTTCATGGTACAATTTTTTAACCTATACATAAAAGTGAAAATTGTCAATAGAACCCTAGCCAAATAATCAAATACACATTGTTTTGATAATAGCAAGAAAAATAGGTATATTTCAAAGTGCACTTACACGTTGTTCGAACCATTTAGGAAACTGCGAGTCATGCCTTTGATTAACATTCCTTGTATTCTCAGCTTTTAGAATTTCCTTATGCTCTCTATACATTAAGTATATATCATTATAACCCACAATTATCTAATACCAAGGCACAAATCTAATGAGCAAACAATAAAATTTTAAGTACAAGTAATTAGAAAATTAAACTTACACTATAAAATCTTGAACCTCTTCACAATTATTCAACACGTAATTCTGAGCTTTTTCCCACTCAATATTATTCAACTCGGCATATATGGTCCCACCAAATGCATGACCATTAGATGCAAATACAGATAACTCACTCTACTTTGCACCTCCATCATAGTTCCGTTCAGTTCGATTGAATCTCGTCTCAACATTACCCAAGTACATAGAGCAAAAATTCAAGCATTCATTGTCAATGTAACGCTCAGCAATCGACCCTTCTGGCCGAGCCTTATTAAGTACATATCCCTTTAGTTTCCCCATTTGCCTATCAATATATATAACAAAAGAATAAAGCTACATTGAAAAAGAAAAACATGATTGATGCTTAAGTAATCACCAGATAAATAAATTATTAAATACCTTTCAAATGGAAACATCCATCGGTATTGGACTGGTCCAGCAAGCTTGGCTTCTTTAGCAAGGTGAACCATTAAGTGTATCATTATGTCAAAGAACGCTGGGGGAAATAAGCGTTCAAGTTTGCATAGTGTCAAAGCAATCTGCCTTTCAAGTTTCTCTAACACATCCAAGTACAACGTCCTAGAACATAACTGTTTGAAAAAACTACTAAGCTCAACTAATGACTGACACATTTCTTTACCCAAGGATCCACGTATTGCCACTGAGAGTATCCGTTGAAGGAAAATGTGACAGTCGTGACTCTTCAATCCTGAAATACGACACTCTTTTATTTTCACACATCGAGAAATGTTTGCGGCAAAATTATCTGGAAACTTAATTGAAGTCAAGAATTCACATATTTTTCTCTTCTCATCATGGGACAACTGGTAACATGCAGATGACATAAGAACTTTATCTCCTTCAAAACGAAGGTGTAATTCTGGTCTTAGGCCCATTGCCATCAAATCCTTACGAGCCTTCCAATTGTCCTTAGTCTTTCCATCAATATTCATTAATGTGCCAAGCACATTATCACATACATTTTTCTCTATGTGCATGATATCCAAGTTATGTCGTAGTTTCAGGGTTTTCCAATATGGCAATTCAAAAAAAATGCTCTTCTTTGTCCAATTCAAATCACTTTTTCGACGTTTCCTCTTCTTCTCTCGGATTAGTTCAGGGGCCTTACCGAAAACAACCTGATCAATAGCATCCAAATATTTCAATATGTCATCCCCAGATAATGGTTCAATTGGTTCCCTAAAGTCTTTCTCACTATTAAATGATTTAGTCTCCTTTCGCCATCTATGATTAGTTGGTAAGAAACGACGATGTCCCCTGTAACAACACTTCTTTCCATTTGGCAAATATTTGGAGGAAGTCTCACTCATGCAAACTGAACATGCCATATACCCTTTGGTGCTCCATACGGACAAGTTAACATAAGCGGGAAAATCATTGATAGTCCATAGCAGTGCTGCACGCAAGCAAAATTTCTCTTTAGTGTAACCATCATATGTTTCAAAGCCATCTTCCCATAATTCAGTTAACTCATCAATTAATGGTTGCAGAAATACGTCAATGTCATTTCCTGGAGAATTTGGTCCTGGAATAATCATGGACATCATGAGAAAAGGATCCTTCATACATTTCCAAGGAGGCAAATTGTATGGTACAAGAAATACTGGCCATATGCTGTAAGCATTACTCATGTTGCCAAAAGGATTGAAGCCATCACTTGCTAGTCCAAGCCTAACATTGAGAGGATCCTGGGCAAACAACTCATGCTTTTTATCAAAATCTTTCCATTCATCGGAATCAGCAGGATGTCTTAATACATTATCCTCATTGATACGTNAAAAAAAATGCTCTTCTTTGTCCAATTCAAATCACTTTTTCGACGTTTCCTCTTCTTCTCTCGGATTAGTTCAGGGGCCTTACCGAAAACAACCTGATCAATAGCATCCAAATATTTCAATATGTCATCCCCAGATAATGGTTCAATTGGTTCCCTAAAGTCTTTCTCACTATTAAATGATTTAGTCTCCTTTCGCCATCTATGATTAGTTGGTAAGAAACGACGATGTCCCATGTAACAACACTTCTTTCCATTTGGCAAATATTTGGAGGAAGTCTCACTCATGCAAACTGGACATGCCATATACCCTTTGGTGCTCCATCCGGACAAGTTAGCATAAGCGGGAAAATCATTGATAGTCCATAGCAGTGCTGCACGCAAGCAAAATTTCTCTTTAGTGTAACCATCATATGTTTCAAAGCCATCTTCCCATAATTCAGTTAACTCATCAATTAATGGTTGCAGAAATACGTCAATGTCATTTCCTGGAGAATTTGGTCCTGGAATAATCATGGACATCATGAGAAAAGGATCCTTCATACATTTCCAAGGAGGCAAATTGTATGGTACAAGAAATACTGGCCATATGCTGTAAGCATTACTCATGTTGCCAAAAGGATTGAAGCCATCACTTGCTAGTCCAAGCCTAACATTGCGAGGATCCTGGGCAAACAACTCATGCTTTTTATCAAAATCTTTCCATGCATCGGAATCAGCAGGATGTCTTAATACATTATCCTCATTGATACGTTTGTCTTTATGCCACCTCATATCACAAGCAATGTTCTTATTTATAAACAATCTCTGCAGTCTTGGCTTTAATGGGAAGTAACGCAATACCTTTTGAGGTATCTTCTTAGATCCTTCAAACTTCCATCTACAGCTCCCACATTTTGGACACTTATCCAAATCCTTATAATCCTTCCAAAAGATTGCACAATCATTAACGCAAGCATCTATCTTCACATAGTTAAGACCCAAGTCACGAATTACCTTTTTTGACTCATAATAAGACTTAGGAAATGTATCACAAATTGGAAAGGCATCTTTCAATATTTCAAGTAGCATGTCAAAGCACTTATTGCTCATGCGATACATCATTTTTAAATGAAGCAGCTTCACAAGAAAAGACAGCTTAGAAAACTTCTTACATCCTGGATAAAGTTCTTGCTCTGCATCATTCAACAATTTAAGAAATATATCTACTTCTCCTCCATCCACATGAACACCCTGTTGAATAGATTCTTCTCTAACCCCCCAATTGTCCCCAAAATGACCAGTGGCAATATCATCTATCATACCATGCATATCATCAATTTCATTACCTTGCTCGTAGTTCTCCTCAACACCCTTATCATTAGCAAAATTGTTTTCAAAATCTTCCCCGTGATATATCCACCTAACATAACTCTTAACTATCCCATGCATCAATAAATGTCTTTCAACAACTTCTCGAGTGTGGTCATAGAAGTTGTTACACTTCATACAAGGACATGAGATCTTACTATGTGGTTCTTTACGAGCATATGCAAACTGGAGGAATTCTTTCACTCCCAATTGGAAAATATGGTGCAATCTATTCTTTTGCTGCATCCAACTCCTATCCATACTTGTGTTCCTACACAATGAACAAATTCAACGCTGCAACAAACTATCCAATTGACCTCAACACATTAGACGAAAAAAATGGTTCAAATAAAAGAATTGATTAACTCAATTACTTGGTTGAGAATGTAATAACATCAAAACAATGGTTCCATTCATGATAATAATAACAATTTTACCCTTTCTCATGAAAGCAATGAAATTTCTAGCAACTGGCCATCAATTTTTGAAAAACAAATGTAGTGACAATGAGGCACTAATAAAAAATAGCACTAGTGAAGACAAAGAAAATCTTCAAGTCAGAGTTTCCAAATTTACTAGTCTTAGGGCATGTTTGTTTTCAATATTAAATTTGGGTAGTATTAGA